CGAGGTGGTTTTTAGGTTGTGTGGGTTTTAGGGGGGTGGTTGGATGGTTGGATGGGGGGTGGTGTTGAGGAGGTGGATTGCTTACACATTCGTTTGACGTGTTTCTTTGAGCATGAGGTGGATAATAAGGAAAACTGGAGGCTTGAAAATAGTGCTTGGATGAGCACCTGTTGTGTTTCTTCCAAAATGAGGAGGGAAATAGGTAAACATGAGGTGGCTGAAATCCGCTCTTGAACAGAGCACCCATATAGTAATCTTTCTTCAACCATAAAGATGATAAGGAAACTGAGAGGTTTGAAACCAGTCCTTCAACTGCGGTTGAATTTACACCAGTCGTTACTTTATTATTAGTATCTTTTAACGTAAGCGAACATGAACATGAAAAGTCAACCAAAGAATTGAATCAACCGTAGCTAGCTAGCTCCTTATAAAACTAGCGCTGTGTTGCTTTAAGTGAGAAATCCACTACCTTAAAATGAAAAGATATTTGTTTGCTTCGTGCCTGTCTATTGCTTATAGAGTTCATTCTTTCTTATCTACTAGCACTTGTTCCGCTTTCCTGGAGAATTGGGTGATGGCTGTTAGGTGTTGGGTGTTAAGCTGGGTTTTGGGGGAAGGGGGGGGGAGGGGGGTTTGGGTGGTTGGGTTAGGTAGTTGGGTGGGTAGTTGGCTGATGAGGGTATGGAGAGAGGGGGAGAGAGAGGGGAGAGAGAGAGATAGTAGGAGGGATATAATAATAAGAAGGGGTTGTTATTATATTAGATGATGGTTTTAAGAAATTATACCTAACGTACTTCACAAGGAGTCCGGATTTATAAGCAGTCCGGATTTTTTACCCCACCATCCAACTTTTAAAAACCATAGAACTTTAACCACTTAATATTTATTTATATAAACTATACTATCTTTCTTATTCTCGATCTGGGCACCTAGGAGCAGTATGCGCTAGTGATCTACATATACTACAGGTTCGTGGTGCACGAATTCGTGGTTCAATTAGCGGGGCCACAGCTTCATCCAAAACCATATTATCACTATTTTGAATAAGTTCCCTCCCTTCCTGACCTGTAAGAACACCCCCAGTAGCAATATATTGACGTCGCACAGTCTTCTTCTTCTTTTGACGTTCAGATTCAGCTCGTAAACGTCGATTTTCCTCTGCCAAAACCGTAGCTGATTGCATAGCCATCTTACACCCTTTAACCAATTGATCTAATGCAATAGCAGTAGGGCTTGAGAGAACGTTTGTACGTCGTTTAATAGATGCTTTAATTGTCTGGGTTTGCTGATCTGCCTCATATGTATTATGGGGTGTCTCAGGGACCCAAGGTAGTAGGTTTGGAGAAAGTAAAGGAGGAGTAGGCGTATGTAATTGAGTATGTAATTTACTCAATACTTGATCTGGGTTGTACGGGACAAGGCCAGTAGTTGCGAATCCATTACAGATTGTGTTTTTGACCATAGTACTTGTACGGGCTACACGATATATTGAAAGGAAGTCTGGTTTATCGATATGATATGTGCCGGCTCGTACTAGCTCCTCGACTCCTCGTCCATAAAGTCGCTTTAAAACTGCAAAGCAACTAACATCTAATGGCTGTAAAAGATGAGATGAGTGCGGTGGCATACAAAGCGTTATGATGTTATGTTCTGAACAGAAAAGATCGAATTCGGGAGTAGAATGACTACCATGGCCATCGAGGATTAAAAGTCGATATACTCCTTTTACACGGTCCTTGGTATATTTCTCAAATACGTCTGAAAGCCACTTAAGACCTAAGGAATCATTGGTCCACCCTTTATCACTAAGTGCAATTGTCCAATCTGCTGGTAATTGATCTGTATACCAAGTCGATATATGCACCTTGCCCTCAAATATAACCATTGGAGGCAACACCCATCCATCTGCACAAATTGATTCGACAACTGTAACCCATTCGCGATTCCCTGGTTGTATATGAATAGCCCGTCCTGTATATTCTGACCCTGTAACAACTTTTGCGGTCGCAATTACTCCCATCTGAAAGCCAGTCTCGTCGAAATTGTATATATCCTCCGCTAGTATACCATATTTCGCAACAATATTATGTACTAATCGAAACCAATCTCGGATAATCGTAGGATCCTCGCATTTTGCGCGCTTATAGTCGTATTTACGAGTGTATTTCGTCCGTAAAGAGTCGTGGCGCTTTATAAAGTTGTCAACCCAGCATTTTCCGACAATAATTCGACCTACTCCAGTTCGCTTTTCCAGTAGTAAATCGGCCATTTGGCGTATCGAATCTTTCCGTACTGGCAGACCTCTAGCTTCCATTGATAACATCCATTGTATAAGTGCTGATTCCTCGAGGTCGGTGAGTTTCTGGTTTCGGGGTCGGAAATCGCGTTGTGGAATAGCTCCCTTGACGCGGTCGTAAGTAGTAGAATATGGCGCATCGTACCTTGTACAAGCTGCTTTTAAGCTTGTAAATTGACCCTTATTGTATGCACTGATTGCAAGAGCAATTTGACCTTCTTTTAGAGACATTTGAACAATAATTGGGTAAGTTATGTAGATTGAAAGTGTGTAGGGTGGTCAATGGTGGGGTAAAAAATCCGGACTGCTTATAAATCCGGACTCCTTATGAAGTACGTTAATATTATATCTTAGTGTATAAAATAAATTCCTAGAGGGGGTTTTTTAACGGTATAGTAAGTAACTACGAGTAAAGACATCCTTATATATAATATATAATAAATCTTAGGTATTTAAAATACCTGTGAGAGGCCAGACCTCGAATAGCTCAAAGGTGTGGTTTCGAATATTCAATTAAGAAGTGCGTGAAGACTACATACATGCGAGCTCTTCCTCTATATATAGAGAGGAAGAGCTTCCTGAATATTCCAAGAAACTTGCAAGAAACTTGAATGACGAATACATGATGTCAGAAGAACAAAACAAGAAAGTGTGGAAAAGTAGAAACCTGTTTGGCAGTGGGGTAATGGCCAGTGCTAAGCAGGGACTTTGGTCAGTGCTTAGCGAGGGCATGGTCCGAGCCTCCATCATGGGTTCCAACCCTCACAATACCGTAAGATACCTCTTAAATAAGTCGTCTATAAGTTATAACTAGATTACCCCTTTTATTCGGGGGTAAATTTATCTCGGTCGTAACTCGTGGAATAGGGATAGGTATATTATAGATAGTTAATTTAAGTTTAGTTAGAAATTAGGATTCTTAGTATTTATTAGAGAAGGGTTAATATAAGTTGCTTAAGTAGGAAGCTAAAATTTAACCTATAGTAACTTTTAGAGCGATTTAAGCTCTTACTAGCGCATAGAGATAAACCTAGACATATAAATTCCAGGTAGATAAATATATCTATTATAGCTTTAAGTAGTATTACCTAGGTTTTTCGAGTAGAATAGTAGGTATTTAAATCAGATATATTATCGAGTATATACTTAACTTAATAAGCGAATAGAGGTCTCGAGAGTTTTATTTATTCTAGGGTACGCTATGGAATCGAGTAGAATATATTAATTTAAGTTATATACTAAGTAGGCCCTTTAGAAACCAGGTACGAATATACGAAAGTTCAATTTATAGATATAGGTAGGTAGGTAAACCTAGATGTAGGGATATTAGATAAGGATAACCTCGGTTATATCCTTAGATTCTGCGTCGCGATTTTTTTGGGTGGAATGTATGAGGATACCTCTATAGTACGAGTAAGGATAATCCTTAGGTTTTTAGATCCCGAAATTCTTTTTTTTGTATAGTACTGAAAATATCTTTGTTTTTCTCTTTGTAGAAGAGGTTCTAAGGAAACTCGTATTATTCTCCAAGTATAAAACTAGGACTTCGTAATACTATTTATAGGATTCTACGTATAGTACTTTATTCTATAGAAGTCTTACTAGGTACTACGTTAAATATTCCTAGTATTTAAATAAACGACCTTGTCGCCGCCTATGCTGAGACCCTCGCTGAAAGGATACCCTCGGTTATATCCTTGAATATTTGTCCTCCGAGAATATCCTCCTATCCAGGTTTGCCTGTAATGCAGTCTTTTAATTAGGATTTTTCGCTGATTAATGGGTCTCGGAGGTTCAAAATATTCCCTGCTCTTCATCTGCAAATATACTCTTTCCGGAAACCTCGCAGGGGGTTGGTAGGGGGGGCGGTACGTATCTCTCGCATTGAACTCAACGACTTGTCTAGTCCGCTCCTTAATTTAAAGTGGGTTTTGGGAGTAGCTAGCCATCCTTCCTTAGTACTTTAATTGTCTTTATATATAAGATGTCTCGCCAGTCTAGCTATTGTCTGCACAATACCTACCACGACCACTCTCATATACCATCTGACTTTGTCCATCGCGATTCATCCTCATCATGAAACTTATCATCATTCTCGCCTTAGGTATCACGGCATCGGCTACGAGTATTTGGTTCTGCAATGACTCGACCGAGGGAGACGGAGGCTGCGAACTCAATAACACCGATACCGTCTGCGGAAGTACTACCCACAGATCACGAGTATTTACGCCTGGGATAGAAATTGATTCTCTCCTCTCCATAGTGCTACTACGAGAAACAAGTGGGTTTCACCACTCAACGAGAAACCACCGCTACTTCTAGGGATAAAAGGGGCTATGCTACTTGTGGTCCTAATGACACTGGAACAATCAGATGCGCTATTAAGATACCTGGTGGTCCTGGGACTGGTTAGATGAGGGATTAGGCGATGGTCATTCGATATTTGAGAAAGAAGAAAGGCACGTACTGTACTTCATGTACATCCATCCAAGTTTACCAATCAAATGTCAATGAAATTTCCTCGGGTGGGAGAGAAGAAAAGAATAGTCAAATAAATCCTGGCTGTTCCCAAAACCTTCGCTACGTTTATTCTCTTTTGCCTTCTCATTTCCAGAGTGCTTTTCTTGCATGGATGTCAAGAAGATATGTACTGTGAACTATGACTTGTATGCGAAAGTTTGCGTTGGTTCAACTCCATTAGTAATATGTAACAATCAGAGATAGTGATATATTATATGCAATAAAAGGTTCCTTTACATTGCTTCCCAGAAGCTGCGAAGCAAGTGACCTATAGATGCCATAGCATGCTAGTGCCAAAGGAGCAGAGTGAGCCAGCTAATAATAATTCACTAGCATATTTTGACCATCTATACAACTAATGCACAGTAAAGTAGTTAGATGTGAAATAGAACGACATTTTGAAAGCCAGTGAACTAGGTATTATCAAGGTAATCAGTTTAAAGTTTCTGGAATCAATTTAGATAAGTAGTCTATTGTGATTGTGTAAGTTTCTCCCATCTATGCTTATAAGGTACTTGTTGGCTCCGGAGTATATAAGAGTAAAGTGTTTATAGTAAGGTATGATTATTAAGTATTTAGTCGACTAATCAGAAGATTTAGGGCCTGTTTGGCTCGCTGTAACGAATACTCAAACTGGCTAACTAAACTTGGCTGGGTGTTCGCTGGTTGGTATGCTATGATAAGAAGAAGACTATCGGGTTGTTCACTTGGAAGTGAACTCGTTACTTGTATCAAAGATGTCAAACTAATATGATAAGATTGATAACTAAGTTGAGCACGAAGCTCCTATCTAAATGGCAGACGTGCCAGTCTTATATAGAACCTTCGTTCTCTGTCTAATCGCTTTAGTCGCTCGCCTCAGTCGCTTCAGTCGACAGGCGACTCAGGCGACTGAAGCGATCATGGTCACGTGGTACTTTAATCCGACGAAATCCATGGATCGCTTAGCTAGCCTAAGGATCCCCTTCTGCTATAAGAGTTATGATAATGCTCGACCTGTCAGGGCGCCGCCTGGTCTTCACTATCTCCCGTGGTAACACGTGATTCGTGACACTCGCCCAATTTAGAGATTTGCACCATATAAAAAGATATACATGCAAATCTAATTTATATGTAATTTAGGATATACGCGCTTATTTAGATAGCCGCAAAAGTTTCTTTTATACTAATTATAAATTCGTCATAAATCTTAAATATAATTCTTTTTAGATTTATACTACCTAAAAACCTTTATAAAGAATTAAACCCTTAACCCTTTAGTTTTAAGATTTATATAAATCTCTATACAAATATTTTCTATCCTATGTATAAAAATCGATAGATATATAATAAAACAAAAAGAACTTTGGTACTGGTTAAATAGTGGTGTATTTATTTCGTTATAATAGTCTAATTTACATGTAAATCAGGAAACTTTTGTATAAGTCCTTGGGGGTCCTCTAACCTGTGTAAATCTAAGACTTTTATACTTGGTACAAATCTTTAAATTGGGCGAGCCAAACAGGCCCTTAGCATTTTTGGATTAATTCTTTTTTTTCGACTTTTTCACCTACCTGCTAGAGGGGTTAGTGCCACTAAGCCGGCACTACTACCAAGCCGGCACTCCTAGGTTTAAATAATTAATAACTTAATAACTAACGGTCGAAAATACCTAAATTAAGTTCTAATATTATTAAAAAGATACGAAGTAATAGATCTAAGGACGAATAGTATTTTTAATAGGTAGTTATTATAATACACTTATATTAGTAGTAGGTAGCCCCTTAGTAGACTGTAGAGGACGGACACTACTAAATGTATCGTAATTAGTTAGTATAGACTACCCCCTAGTACCCTATCAAAATTTTAACCTACTACCTATATATCGACCTACCTCGATAACAACCTATAATATCGATAGATATAGTTTATTATATGTGTTTAGCTAATTATTACGAGTACTTGTCTATAAACATTATCCGAAAAGAATATGTTGTTGTTTTAATATTAGTTTATAGGATTAAACCTAGGAGTGCTAGCTTAGTGGTAGTGCCGGCTTAGTAGTACTAACCCCTGTAGCGGGTAGTTAAAAAATCCAAAAAAAAAAGAATATAATCCCAAACTCCTTAATTCTCTGATTAGTCGAACAGTTATTACGTAATTATAAAACAATATAACGTACTTCATAAGGAGTCCGGATTTATAAGCAGTCCGGATTTTTTACCCCACCATTGACCACCCTACACACTTTCAATCTACATAACTTACCCAATTATTGTTCAAATGTCTCGAAAAGAAGGTCAAATTGCTCTTGCAATCAGTGCATACAATAAGGGTCAATTTACAAGCTTAAAAGCAGCTTGTACAAGGTACGATGCGCCATATTCTACTACTTACGACCGCGTCAAGGGAGCTATTCCACAACGCGATTTCCGACCCCGAAACCAGAAACTCACCGACCTCGAGGAATCAGCACTTATACAATGGATGTTATCAATGGAAGCTAGAGGTCTGCCAGTACGGAAAGATTCGATACGCCAAATGGCCGATTTACTACTGGAAAAGCGAACTGAAGTAGGTCGAATTATTGTCGGAAAATGCTGGGTTGACAACTTTATAAAGCGCCACGACTCTTTACGGACGAAATACACTCGTAAATACGACTATAAGCGCGCAAAATGCGAGGATCCTACGATTATCCGAGATTGGTTTCGATTAGTACATAATATTGTTGCGAAATATGGTATACTAGCGGAGGATATATACAATTTCGACGAGACTGGCTTTCAGATGGGAGTAATTGCGACCGCAAAAGTTGTTACAGGGTCAGAATATACAGGACGGGCTATTCATATACAACCAGGGAATCGCGAATGGGTTACAGTTGTCGAATCAATTTGTGCAGATGGATGGGTGTTGCCTCCAATGGTTATATTTGAGGGCAAGGTGCATATATCGACTTGGTATACAGATCAATTACCAGCAGATTGGACAATTGCACTTAGTGATAAAGGGTGGACCAATGATTCCTTAGGTCTTAAGTGGCTTTCAGACGTATTTGAGAAATATACCAAGGACCGTGTAAAAGGAGTATATCGACTTTTAATCCTCGATGGCCATGGTAGTCATTCTACTCCCGAATTCGATCTTTTCTGTTCAGAACATAACATCATAACGCTTTGTATGCCACCGCACTCATCTCATCTTTTACAGCCATTAGATGTTAGTTACTTTGCAGTTTTAAAGCGACTTTATGGACGAGGAGTCGAGGAGCTAGTACGAGCCGGCACATATCATATCGATAAACCAGACTTCCTTTCAATATATCGTGTAGCACGTACAAGTACTATGGTCAAAAACACAATCTGTAATGGATTCGCAACTACTGGCCTTGTCCCGTACAACCCAGATCAAGTATTGAGTAAATTACATACTCAATTACATAACGCCTACTCCTCCTTTACTTTCTCCAAACCTACTTACTTTACTACCTTGGGTCCCTGAGACACCCCAGAATACATATGAGGCAGATCAGCAAACCCAGACAATTAAAGCATCTATTAAACGACGTACAAACGTTCTCTCAAGCCCTACTGCTATTGCATTAGATCAATTGGTTAAAGGGTGTAAGATGGCTATGCAATCAGCTACGGTTTTGGCAGAGGAAAATCGACGTTTACGAGCTGAATCTGAACGTCAAGAGAAGAAGAAGACTGTGCGACGTCAATATATTGCTACTGGGGGTGTTCTTACAGGTCAGGAAGGGAGGGAACTTATTCAAAATAGTGATAATATGGTTTTGGATGAAGCTGTGGCCCCGCTAATTGAACCACGAATTCGTGCACCACGAACCTGTAGTATATGTAGATCACTAGCGCATACTGCTCCTAGGTGCCCAGATCGAGAATAAGAAAGATTGTATAGTTTATATAAATAAATATTAAGTGGTTAAAGTTCTATGGTTTTTAAAAGTTGGATGGTGGGGTAAAAAATCCGGACTGCTTGTAAACTCCTTATGAAGTATGTTATTACTATAAAGACTTAATTATTATATACTCTAAAGCTAACAAGTATTATCATAGTAGATTAAAACTAATAAATTTAACAACAAAGTTAGAAAAATAAAGCTTCTGGATAGTTACTTGGTTCTTATATGGTAATGGCGTAGTGAATAGTTAAGAAGCTGGGGTAAGAGAGAAGCGTGTTGTAAGTTTTCCCCTTCTTTTCTCTTTTGTCTAAACAAGAGTAAGATGCTACAGTATTAGCGATTAAGTCTGAGCCATTTCCACTTTTTACACCAAAACTCGGTATAATAACGTGTATAAAAAACCTCAAAGGTTAGGAGGAAATATAAAATCTTTTATAGAATCCCTTTATCTTAGCATTTCCGTCCTTTCTATCTCTTCCGATTTTGTTAAATAATATAAGGTAGTAAATAAAAAGCGTACTAAATTCGGCCTAAATTTGACAAAAAATTAATTATATCTAGAAGATCACTATATATATTAATAAAGAGCTTATATATAGCTTAATACACCTATATAAAAGTACTGAGAAGGTACTTAACTATAAGTACGTAAGAGGATAATAGTTTTATATTGGGTTGAAAGGGTATTGGGTACTGAAGGTCATGGAGAATTGATTGCATTATAAAAGGTAGTTATCTAAGGTGTTTATATAAAGAGTGTGAGGTTTAGGCAGACATGAAGCATTTAGGCAGCAGAACTATAAGTGGATCAAATAAGGAAGTGGAGCAAAAGAGAAAGTAGACCCAGCACAACATTTTACTATAAGTGTATATACTTATAAGCAATTTAAAACTAGGTAAATCGTCGATTTTTAGTGGGGTTCGGCTAAATGGCTTAGACTTAATCGTACTGACTGTAATGACGGATCCTTCTAGAGTGTTGTCTTTGTCATTACTCTGCGTAAACCATAAAACCCATTACAAAAATAATTTACTGTCCTAGCAGAGTGAGCTGCATGGAGCTCAAAGATATAATTCTTTTGAATCATACGCAGAAACAATATTTAAGCGAGGAGGTCAGAATAACAATTTCTTGACTTTTGAAGGATTTCTGTCCACCGCGTGATCACAAAGTTGTCAAGGGAGATACTCAATTGAGAACAATTGTTACTTGGGACTTTGAGCAATGATCATATGGTAAACTGTTTATAATCCAGCGTCTAACTGATTTTAACTCCTATTCCCTCCGCATCTCCAATGAAAATATCCATCAAGTCGAAGATTTCTTCAAAGCACTTATCTCCTCAAATGCATTCAAGATCTCTTGGTCAGCATCATACTCCTCCTTCCAGTTCTGCTCTGGGATTGATTCGTTGACCAGTTGATTCAAATGATCCAAGTGAAGTTCCAGATGATAGATCTCTTTTCCTGCCTCCTTGGCGCTGGCTTCGTCTTTCTCGTCTACTGCCTTGTTGTATTTTGTAATGAGGGGTCGCATGTGCTCATATATGTCTTTCATGTCCTGTCTGACCTCGTTGAGCTTTGGCTGGGCTAGTACCCAGTTTCTGTAGCGGATTTCTAGTTGTTTGGAGCCCGCAGCTTTCATCTTGGCTTCGGCGATTTGGAGAGGGGTTTGTGTGTTGGTGCTTTGAGAAGCTGGTGTGGAACTTGGGGTAGACATGTCGTGAGTTGATTGGGTTGAGTGAAAGTTCTGGTTGCGGTGTTTTCTTGTTGTGGTGTTTTCTTGTTGTGAAATGGATGTTGTGAAATGGATGTTGTGTTTCTTGGAAATGATCTGAGTGAGGGGCAAGAAGGGATGCATTTATAGTCAAAGATCGATCGTTAGAGATGGCTATGTTCTGAATAACTGGATGGCAATTGTTGAGTTCATGACTGTCTGAACATGCGTTTCCCAAGAACGTGACAGATACTGTCATAAGAGAAAGTGAATGTCTAACGAAGGAAATCCGCTATTCACAAATAGTTGAACCCCTACAACTTAAATGCGGTGTGAATTACAAAAGTTGGGAGGAAAATAAACCACAATCTCAGATTGTATTACATGACTAGTTTTACAACAACATAATATTCAGAAATGTACTCTAGCGACACAATTAGTTTGAGATTGGGACGACCTCTTAAATCATATTATTCACTATTCCATTAATATACAGAGGTGTAAACAACGTACTAAAATCTCGGACCACTAATTAAGCCCTAAGGGGGGCCGTCGATTCACCGCCTCCCGTTACAAACTAGTTATATAGTTCAACCGAGTACTATAAAATATTCCTCCAGCCCTTCACCTTTAGAGCGATTAATTGATTCATATGATGACTCGTACAAAACTTCCGGATAGTTCTCTTGCACAACCGGAGTTTCGATCGACTCCCTTAATATTCCTATTCTCCGATAATTATCTTTGACTTGGTCGACTGTTTGAAGTATTAGGTGCACTAAGCAATCATAAACCTCGCCCACAGTAAGCAAATACAAAGTCAAGTTGAGCGATGTGAGATCGGTGTCGAAATGACATATGAAATCATTTTCCAACCCCACATTTTGGCAAATTCGCAAAGATCCGCAGCGCACACGAAGTGATCCAAACTCAATGCCTGAAATTCGTCCAAGCCAGAAGGCACGATACTGACATCAGTAACAGCAAATTTTATACATTTCACAGCTCTGCAATACCAAAAGGTTGTGAGACCATCAAGCGAAGCCCATGACCAACTTGGAGCTCTGTAAATATGTGGCCGATAAGTATCAGCTTTTTTATCTCCACTTATGTACCAAAGAAGTTGTTTCTCAATATCTTTTCTCCATAGACCACAGAGATAGCGGTCGTTCGTATGTGATTGGAAAAGTTTCGCGATTCCTGATATAGCAGGGAGTTTGTCGCTCTCCTTGGTAAGGGAAGTTTGCGAGTATCTCATTACTGTGTTCTCCCAAAAGTCTATGCCAGAAGGGCTACCCTTGATCAGCGGAATCCCGTCTTCATAGTGAAGACCCTTAGATGGATAGAGGGCCTTAGATCCATGTGGCTGTGTCTCACAGGCATGCAACTCTTGACACCCCCAAAAGATTTGAGTTTCTCCAAAGTGTAGAGTGCGGGGGGCAAGTAATCTCTCCTGCAAAATCCATCCTCTTTGTGAGAGTGGCGCTCTCTCCACGCCATATATCCATGTATTTGTGTCAAAAAAACCGAAGATTGACTCCCCGAATTCAAGTCTGAGTAGCTTGGGTTGCCGGTCAGGCGCCCTGGACCTGAAGCAGCCTCCATGACCGTCTTTTGAGGCAGTTGCCGCAATATTCAGTGTTGATCCCCGATAAACGTCGCACATTGTGCTTGACTCTCTTAGCCACTGCGAAGAAAATTGTTAGCAAAGTGTCAACCAATAATTATTCGCCATTTTATTTTCAAAGAGATTTAGCATGTGCAGAAAACAGTAACCTACGTCATCCGGGCTATCCTGTATTATACACAATGCATCAATCCATAGATAAAGAAAACCAAGTCGTTTGGTAACAAGTATAGAGTCCTGGAAGGTTTTAGATAACCAATTAAATGGAATCTGCTGCATCAATTGCTGGATATTATGCTTTTGCAACTTTGGCATATCACTAGCACCAACAGAGCCCCAGCAATGACTCAGTGTTAAGTATTCCACGATTTTCGAATCTGTATCCATAATGATAAGCCGAACCTGGTTATTGGAAGGGTCCAAGTAGAGAAGCCGGGTTGGAAGTTTGCATGCAGTGGGGCTAACTGAGCAAGCATATATCTTGACACACGTATCAAGCCACTGTTTGACAAGGACAAAGTTTTCTTCCGAATCCATGGCTGCTGGAATCTTATGAAATGACGACGATAAATTCTCTACGTGCTTTTTGTTAGATAGCCTATCTTCGAATGCAGGTAGCAAGTACTCACGCTCTCTGACAACACCAATAACTGTGGGCAAGTTATAGCCACTTTTCCGAAACAAAATCTGCCATTCATCATGACCATATGGGTCCAAATCTCTCTTATAGGTACGTCCTGGCGTGTATCCTTTTCCCGGAAACAATTTACACAGTCGACAGCCGAGAGAAATTGAATTTTCTAGATCATATTCCTGATGTAATCCTTGTGCAGCTTTCACACGTGACAAGTTCCCAAGAAACGTCTGACAGTCTTTGCATAAGTTTGAAAGCTTAACAACATCGCTTGGGGACTCGAAACGTGCATTGGGATCGTTAGGAGCCACCTCGGGGGCAGCACTGTTGAGAGCGCGAGACGATTGCGGGACATCATGAGATGATTGGGACATGATGAACACTCAATTGTCTTATGATATAATGAAAAGTCTTTAGTTGGTCTTCGCTTTGATATGAATGTCTCGACGTGAGCAGAAGAGACGCTGAGGTGGGGATCGAGGCTGCCTTGGGCGTGCCCATAAATCCTGATGTAATGTAACCATAAACTGCATACTGCATACTGCCAGCTGCCAGCTCTGGACGTCAAAAATCCTCCCATATTAGGTAGTAAGACTAACACGAATATCTTTTGGTGATGAAATGGAAACCACTGTCAACTAGTGTATATCCAAACTAATCGACTACTTAATTATACTCGATTGGTACTCGAGTTAAGCTAAGTAGTAGGTTTAGCTTCCTTACTAAGGGCATGTTTGGCTACGCAAATCTCTCCATGCAAATTAGGTGCAAAAGCCGAAGATTTGCACGGGCTGGAGGACCCCAAGGACTTATGCAAAAGTTTCCTGATTTGCATGTAAATTAGACTATTGTGACGAAACAAATGCACCACCGTTTGGCTGTTGTAAAAGTTTTTTTATTTCAGGTGCAAATCTAATATATCTATACCCGCCCTTCTGTAGTGTTACCCCTATAGTATCCCTCCTACACTTTCACCTTACCCTCCTTCCCTAGGCGCTATGTTTGCTCCTACACTTTACAGCTATAAATTAACCGAGTATTACTTTCTGTTAGAATAGGGGAACAGTATAGGGGTAAGGGGGTTAGTATATAGTAGGAGAATAGAAAGATTTGCACGGAGATTTGTACAAAAGAAAAAGAAGTACAAGGGTGAGGCTTCAATTCTTTTATATCTTTATTTTAGTAGTGCAAATCTAAAAACTTTTACATTTAGGGCACGTTTGGCTCGCCTAATTTAGAGATTTGAACTATATAAAAAGATTTGTATGTATATGTTTTTAAATAAGAATTATATATAATTTAAGACATATATACTTGTTTAGATAGCTGTAAAAGTTTTTATTTAAATAATTATAAATCCGTTACAAATCTAATTTCAAATCTTTTTAGATTTATACTACTAAAAAAACTTTATAAAAGAACTAAAGCCTTAACCCTCTAGTTCTTTTTAATTTGTACAAATCTCTGTGTAAATCTTTCTATTCTCCTGTAGTGTCCCCTACAGTGTCCCCCTATAGTGTTCCCCTATAGTAGCCCCCCTCTATAGTATCCCCCCTACAGTACCCCCCCTATAGTATCCCTCCGATAGTATTTCCCCTATAGCATCCCCCTTTACTAACAAAAAGCAAAACTCGGCTAATTTATAGTTGTAAAGCGTAGGAGCAAAAAGAGCGGCTAGGGAGAGGGGGTAGGGGGGGTATATTGAAATTGTAGGAGGGATACTATAGAACTACAGGAGTAATAATATAAGGGATAGGCGAGGGTAGGCGGGGGTAGGCGGAGGGTATAGATATATAAGATTTATACCTAACTTAAAATAAAAAACTTTTATAATAGCTAAATAGTAGTACATTTGTTTCTTAAGAATAGTTAAAGTTGTATATAATTCAGGAAACTTTTATATAAGCCCTTAGGGTCCTCTAGCCCGTATAAATCTTCGACTTTTATACCTAATTTGTGTAGAGAGATTTACGTAGCTAAACATACCTTTAGATTTGTAACGGATTTATAACTAATTTAGTAAAAAACTTATACAGCTATCTAAATAACCGTATATATCTAAATATATATATATATATATCTATTGGGTTGAAAGGGTATTGGGTACTGAAGGTCATGGAGAATTGATTGCATTGTAAAAGGTAGCTATCTAAGGTGTTTATATAAAGAGTGTAAGATTTAAGCAGACATGAAGCATTTAGGCAGCAGAGCTATAAGTGGATCAAATCAGGAAGTGGAGCAAAAGAGAAAGTAGACCCAGCACAACAATATCTTATATAAAAACATATATGTATACAAATCTTTTTATATAGTATAAATCTCTAAATTACGCGAGCTAGGGTTATTACCCGTAAATTTAGATAAATTATAAATAATTAAAAAGCCTATAAATTAGTCTAAATAAAGATTCGGTCTCTAAATTTAGATCTTAGTATTAAGTTTAGGCGAATAAAGGGGTAAAAGTAGACTAACTTTATAGTAAAAACTATAAGAATTATTAGTATAACTAATCTTCTTAGTCCTTGTCCACGTCGTTATTACTTATACTAATAATCTCTTCTTTACTTATATTATCTTCTTCCTCTTTTATTTATATAAGAGTTCGCTTAAGCCGGGAAATTAGGTTATAATAACCCTAGACTATTTAGATATTCCGATTCCGGAGGCACGTAACGTATCTAAATTATATCTAATTTGTTTTCCTCTAAACGCCTAATTTACTAATTATTTCTAATTTATATAAATTAGATCTAAATTAACAACCCTAGCGCGAGCTAAACATGCCCTTAAATAATTATTAAGTAGTTTTATAAAAATTGTTCTACTAAGAAAGACCGTTTAAGGTATTTCTATAATAATAGTATTACTATATCACTATAGATACTATACCTACAATATTAACTCAATGATTTATAGACTTGCTTTTACTATGAATAACGGATATTTAACTTTCTGAGGGAGTCGGCTAAATCGGCCCCATCGGACCGGCTAACCGGAGCACCCCGGTCGCGCTACAGGGACTCAGGTCGACCTCTTCCGTATCATCTGAATGGTAAATATTTTAGTTAATTACTTGACGAGTTGAGTTGAATAGCTACTCGGTTTGAGCCAAGTAAGGTAGGTGCTACTACTTAGCTTATCTACTTGAATTTTATACGCTACAGACATCCGATCAAATCTTTTCTTTCTTAACTAAGAATCCAAACTTCTCAAACGTGAGGTAGCTGTGTCATGCCAATTTTCAGTTGATAAGGGGTTCATTTTTGGGGATGGGATATACGGGAGACAGTAGCATGAGTTCATACATGTGACACAAACCACTGAATCGTTATACAAGAGAACCCCGAATACCAACCTACAAAAAGCAATTAACAACATCTCAAATGTATCTTAGAAGAGAGCTCAAATTAATATCACTAACCACGAGAATCACTTCACCCTCGGCAAATTCTCCAGTTCCAAAGAAACATCTTCCAAAAGCTCCATCAACTCCGCTACCTCTCCCGGATCTCCCCCTTTCACGAGCGGTCTCAACTGGCTCACGAGCCCCGATAAAGCCGGAATACTAGTAACGTACCTCTTCTGCGTTCCCCCCGCTACCTTCGTCAGAAGCGCGGTAGAGAGTTGAAGGGCAGCAATTTGAAGTTCAAGAATGATTGGATTTGCGCTCTTGGTTGGCTTTATGGAGGCCGTCATGGGAATTGCGGCCAACCACTCTTCTTGTGGGAATGATGCCGTGGGATTATCCAAAACAGCGAGTAATACACGGACAATTTGGAGACCTCGGGAGGCTTCTGAGATACCCGAGGAGTCATTTGGCGAATGGGATCCTAGCAGTGTCTGGAAGATGGATTGAAGGTCATTGGCGAGTATTTCCCAACCACTCTGCTCTAGGAACCCCTGAACCCCGTTGTCGTAAAGTGCGATGACTTCCAATGCAAGCAAGATCGGATAGCGGAAATCCACGGCATTTTTGTTGCTCTCTTTATAAAGCTCCATAAACATGTCCATGAGGCCGCTACTCTCATTCCGTAAGTTTTCGTTCTCGTCCTCGCGGATCCAAATTGACAACGCCCTGATGCCCGCCAAAATCAGTGGATCGGTCATGACATTGTCTTTCATAGATTCCCATGTCAGGGTGAGTCGCGTGCCTTCGGAGGTAGCCGCAGTTCCAATACGTGCTGATGGGTGCAAGCCCGACGCTCCTGCAAAAGATGAATCCCATCTATCCCGAAGGTATTCGATCGTAAGAGAAGTAGTTTCAGCAATGTCCTTTCTTAATTTCAGTAAAAGATCTGGTGGCATACTGAATGCTGGAATGCCATCCCCTTCGTCATCAAGGCTTCGAACAAGGAAACCTATGAAGCTAGAGAGAATATCGAAGGCGGCCGCTAGGCGTTGAGATGTAAAAGTGTACTCTGTACTGTTGAGCTGAGCAAGTAATGAAGGGAAGGATGCGCGTAAGTCTATGAGGAGCAGATCAATAAGGAGGTATGAGAAAGGTTTGCTCTCAGCAGTATCTGAGACATCATTTTTGAATAGCAAGATTGGGCATCGCGCTGGATATGCCTGGAGTAATGCAGCAGCGAGACACGTATAAGCAGCTCGTCCAGCCAAAGTAGGCTTTCTAGACACCAGCTTTCGCAAAGTGGAAATTAAAGCAGTGAGCCATGCTGGATTTGGATTGAGAGCCTGATAAAATTCAGATTGTTATTTGGACGAGTGTATGTACTTAACTTACCTCGGGCTCCAGTTTGGGAAAGAAGCTACCCAGTGATTGAATCAGTGTGACTGCGTCTGTCTGTTTGAAGACAACAAGGAGGGCGGGAATAATTTTGTCAAGACTTGCACGAACTGTTGCGACTTCATCGTTGACAACTGAAGCATTCATCCAGCTATAAGTGAAGACGTCAAGTACCAAGCGATATTGGGTTGCAATTTCTGTGAGGGGTGAAAAGTCATCTACAGAGAGGAATCTAATAGCCCCTTCTGAGTGCGCCACTATAGTAAGGAGGGTTTTAAGAACCAGCTCAGTTGTTTCTGGTGAACTGCTTTGATGTTAGACTTTGAGTTTGACAGGGGAAGTAGCAATTACCTTTGCACCAATGCTTTGGTCAGTGGGCCTATCCTCGCCGTCAGCCTCTTCTCTTTGAGGTCGTTCTCTGGTAACAAGTTGGTAAGTGTATGAAGAATGGCCACTGCCAGATCAACCATATCTTTTGCCTCAGCGTTGCTGACTTTGTCGTTTTCTTGAGCTCGAAGGAGACGGTCAAGAAATTTTGGCGAAAGTGCCTCCCATAATATATGCATTCGATCTGGGTCCTTTACTAACTGTCCATTATCAAGGACGCTCTTGAGAAGTGCAAGACCAACGAATCTTGAGGTATCATTTTTGGTCTTGAGAAGTTCTTTCAATTTCTCAAAAGTGGCTGCAGGATCTGTCAAGCCCGTTGCTTCAGCAATTGGATTTTCTCCTTTGAGATCACCAGACATGTTGAACAGTAAAGGTCATTAGTTAGTAAAGGTCATTAGTTATCACGAGAAAGCGGACCCAAAAAATGATGCTCTTGATGTCGTGAACATAAGTGGCAGCCACTTTTCTGGGAAGTATCATTTTGGTTGACATACTTTACACCATGGTTCTACCGACGTTCTACCGACCCCTGCTCTTTCAGCCTTGGGACGATGGACTAGGACATCAAGAAACAACATCACATACAATCCAGAACAAGACAGCACATTTTCACGCAAAGAACATGCCACTCGAATTGCCCAAACCTTGAAGTATGGCCAGTTCGTCAAACGACTACTTTCCGCCAGAGTCTCACGGTAGCGCATCCTCGAGCCAGAGCCCTCCAAGCATTCCCAATCCTACAGTTGAAGACGACAGCGACAATGACGATCCAATCGCAAGTCATTCTCGTGAACAAGTCCTCCTTTCCGAAGACTCCCTATTTGGTGCTGATGTAGACACAGTGTCTTTCAAGCGCAAGCAGAAGCAACCCTCTGGATTGCGTTTCTTGTCTGCCTTTACAGGCAATGCGAGCGCATCAAGACTGGCAATACCTTCTCCTACGGGGGGGACGAATCTGATTAACGGTGGGCATTTGGCCTCAGGCATAGAGAATGGAGACTTTGATGACACAAATAATACGAACAACAAAGACGGGGGGTTGGACTGGTATGCCGAAGGGCCAGGTCGCAGAGTTGGGTATGAGGACATGACGGCCATTGATTGGATTTTTGAATACACGAAAGAAAGACAACGTCTGCGGGTTCTATACTCGAGTGCCACAGGTATCTTAGGATATCTGCAACAGGCCTTGGATGCCAGTCAAATTTGGATTGTTCTGATTTTGACTGGATTAGCAGCTGGTGTTTTTGCTGCCGCAATAGATGTTGCCAGTGACTGGTTAGCAGATTTGAAAACAGGGTATTGTTCTGCTGGTGTGGATGGAGGGCGTTTTTATCTCAACAAGTACTTCTGTTGTTACGGCTATGATGGCCTGACCCAATGCCGGGATTGGGTTTCTTGGAGTCAAGCTCTGAACATCACTTCTACTGGAGGGTCATGGTTTATAGAATATTTCTTTTTTATACTATTTTCGGTACGGTGTCCAATCCTATCATGTTCTATCAAATTACACACGCTTACTTGAGTGGTTTTAAGGTGGTCTTTGGGATTTCTGCAAGTATTTTGGTCATAGAATACGCTCCTTATGCAAAACATAGTGGAATTCCAGAAATCAAAACTGTATTAGGAGGCTTTGTCATTCGGCGATTCATGGGAACATGGACTTTGATAATAAAGTCACTTGGGCTGGTATATACAGACAACTCCCTTGGGGGCCTCTACATCGCTGACTGTGATAGTGCCTGGCTGTCGCATCGGGCATGTGGCTCGGGAAAGAAGGACCTCTGGTGCACGTGGCATGCTGCTGCGCGAATCTTTTCATGAAATTATTTGGGAATATCAACGGGAACGAAGGTACGGCTATATCTGCTCTATCATTTTGGCAAAATGTCTGACAATCCGCAAGCAAGAAAACGTGAGGTCCTTTCTGCTGCTGCCGCCGCGGGGATATCGGTTGCATTTGGTTCTCCCATTGGGGGAGTTCTATTCAGTCTTGAAGTTAGTCAGAATACTTGAGAAGAAGCTATTCGTTTCACTAACTTTCAATAGCAATTGTCATATTACTTTCCCGACAAAACAATGTGGCAAAGTTTCGTATGCGCAATGACTGCTGCAGTAACATTGCAAGGCTTTGATCCGTTCAGAAGCGGCAAACTTGTGCTATATCAAGTAACGTACAGTACGGGTTGGCACGGGTTTGAGATGGTCCCTTTCGCGTTGTTGGGCATTCTCGGGGTAAGCTGTTTTGACACTTGTAATGAATCCATCTAATTTGTTCCAGGGCGTTTACGGCGGGCTATTTATCAAATTGAATATGAAAGTAGCCGAGTGGAAAAAAGCCAACACGTGGTTGCCTGGACCTCTTACTCAAGTCGCGATTGTAGCAGTACTGACGGCTCTTATCAACTATCCCAACTTTTACATGAGAGCTCAAGCTTCGGAGCTTGTCTATTCTCTCCTTGCTGAATGCTCAAAAGTTGTTGATGATCAATTTGGGCTTTGCCAAACTGGGGCGGCATCAGCCGGTACCATAGTCTTGCTAGTGTTTGGAGCCATTCTCGGTTTCTTCCTGGCTTCCGTCACATTTGGACTTAAGATACCAGCGGGGATTATTTTGCCTTCCATGGCGGTAGGGGCTCTCATGGGACGAGCTGTGGGGATAGTCATGGAGATTTGGGTTCAGAATCACCCAACGTTCTTCCCATTTGCATCTTGCGAACCCGATGTTCCTTGTGTCACCCCTGGAACATATGCCATCATAGGTGCTGCCGCTGCACTTGGTGGAGTTACCAGAATGACAGTTTCGATCGTTGTAATCATGTTTGAACTTACAGGGGCACTCACCTACGTCCTGCCTATCATGATCGCAGTCATGTTTAGTAAATGGGTAGGGGATGCTTTTGGAAAAAGGGGAATATACGAATCCTGGATTCACTTCAACGAATACCCATTTCTCGACAATAGCGAGGAAACAGTTATTCCCGACATTCCCGTCTCCCAAGTTATGACTCGAATCGAAGATCTCATTGTCCTTACTGCCACCGGACACACTATCCAATCTTTGACCAGTATCCTAGCGACCCATGCCCACCGCGGATTTCCGGTCATCTCTGATTCACGAGAAGCTATTCTCTTGGGCTACATTTCCCGAGCAGAATTAGAATACAACCTCCGCTCCTCCACCCAAGCACCACGTTCCCTCCCTCCAGAAACCGAAGCCTTCTTCTCCCACCAGCCACTCGCCGATCCACGAACCACCCTCGATCTCAGACCTTGGATGGACCAAACACCACTTACCCTTCCATCACGCTCCAATCTCCTTCTAACAGCGAACTACTTCCAGAAACTTGGTTTACGATACGTCCTTTACTCGGACCGTGGTGTTTTGCAGGGACTACTGACTAAGAAGGATGTTTGGTATGTGTTAAACGGGGCGGAGGAGACAAGGAAGACTGCTGCGATGGATGGGGGTGGGTTGGGGTTAAGTACGGGGTTGACGAGAGAGGAGGGAGAGGGGGAGGCGAGGGGGCTGTTGAGTAGGAATGCAGAGGATGAGGATACTCCGATTAGCNGGTTGGGGTTAAGTACGGGGTTGACGAGAGAGGAGGGAGAGGGGGAGGCGAGGGGGCTGTTGAGTAGGAATGCAGAGGATGAGGATACTCCGATTAGCCCTACTGGCGGGGCTGCGGTTTTATGATAGACTTTTATGAATAGATGTGTTACCTATACTGTTGTTTTGATGGTGTCTCTTGGGGACACAATCTTGTGGTGCTGTTGAGTCTCTGTGCGGGCCGGTGAGGCAACAGTATCTTTATCATGCGAATTTGGTGAAAAATGGGCTGAGTAGAAGGAGGTTGCTGGTCTCTTTCTTTGGAGAAGACGTCAAGTTCTGAAGTGGAAGCCTAAGAACCGCTGCACGGCAAGTGGGTATACTCCGTATACGTTACATTATGGGATGGATCAAGCGATATCTCGACTCTGGCGACCTTTGCCATAGTTGCGCCGGTGTGATTTATGGGCCTAAGTGGATTTTCCACAACAGGGTGCACACGTTCACTCATGAGTGTGGAAGAGATATCAGATCCAAGAATTGAGTCACTCGGTAAGTCCTTCGCAGAATCAACGGTTATATAAGCCAAAGAAAGCGCTCCAATCCGTAGCTATTCTCTTTTCTTGACTATCGTCGCCTCCTTTTTTCACATCATCTGCCATTGAGGGGCGAATATAACCGGAAGTTCGTTTTGTTCACGATCTTTTTATAATTGCTTCCCAAACTTCCTTAACCCTCAAAATTCAAGATTTTGTCCGCCATTGAAACACTCGCCAACGAACTACTCGATCTCATTCTCCAGGATTTGAACCTGGCAGAACAAACGGCACTCTTACGATGCAGCGAGTACTTACGCCAGCACATCGAGCCAGCTCTTTACGAACAAGAATGTCGGCGTGACGTTACGATGCATTGGGCGATCCAGAATGGAAATACCCATATTATCCGCCCCAGTGGGAGCAAAACACCTGAATCAGGTGCTCCTAAAACACCTGATTTAGGTACTCTAACTTACTACCTTATATAGTACGAGAATATCTAATATATATATAAAATAGCTAAAAAACACCTGATTTAGGTACTCTAACTTACTACCTTATATAGTACGAGAATACCTAATATATACATAAAATAGCTAAAAAACACCTGATTTAGGTACTCCTATTGAAAGGAATTACTAAAAAAAAATCTCTATAATCTACTTGAATAATAATTGAAATATATAAAAACCTTATAATTATATACTATAACTACTTATATACCTATAGATTTAAAAAAAATCCCTTACTAAGTACTATATCCCCTTTCTACTAAACTACGTACCTATATAGTAAAATAGTACTATTAAAAGTAATAGACTCTTGCTCTAAAAATACTACGTACTTTACTATATAATCGAGTTATAAAGCTCTACCTAGTAGCTACTAAGCGAATATATATTACTTATTTTAATAATAAGTATAGAAATAATAGTAAATACTATTTATCTATTCTCTATTAAAATATTAATAATCCCTTTAGCTATAGAAAAGTATACTTTATTCTAAGGGTTGAGTTAGCCTATTAAATAAGAGGAATTATATTAGTTAACTAACGTATAGTATAAATATACCAACTATTAGAAAGTAGTCTCGATCACTATCCTACGATTAAAAAGTATTATATAGGCTAGGATTTATATTAAGTATAGTAACCTTATGTTATACTACTATAAACTTAGCTTATATACCTTAAGAGTATTCTAATTCTATTCCTTTATAAGATTTAAATACTATTCCTTTATAAAAAAGAATATAACCTCCTTTAGATATTTTCATATAGTTAATAAGATAAGATACTAAAGTACTAAGGGAAATACTACTTTTAGTAAAAGTATATATTCTAAGTAATAAATAGTAGATAAATAGTAGCCCCCTTATTAAACTAGAGATAAAAGTTTCTACTCTTAAGAATTAAAGTTAAGAGATATAAAACTATAAATACTTTTATAGCCTAAAGTTATATTAGCTAGTAACTATCTAAGTTCTACTCTACTTACTTCTTTATCTAATACTCTTTTATTAGCTATAAATATCTAAGTTTGCTCTACTTCTTTATCTAATACTCTTTTATTAGCTAGTAACTATCTAAGTGTCACGAATCACATGCTCACGTGATACTTGTCATAATAAAGAGGCGCAACCCTCGACAGGCACATCCAGGTTTCTTATAGCAAATAGGGATTGCTTAGGCCAGCTAAGCGATCCATGGATTTCATTTGGTTGTTGTCACGTGATGGACCCCGATGGATCCAGAAGGGATCCAGTAGAACGAAGGTTCTATATAAGACTGGCACTTCTGCCATTAGATAGGAGCTTCGTGCTCAACTTAGTTATCAATCTTATCATATTAGTTTGACATCTTTGATACAAGTACCGAGTTCACTTCCAAGTGAACAACCTGTGACGGTTATGGTCACGAGGGCTGGATGTCACATGCTCGCTTAGCGAGGCGCTAGCGCGCACGACCTGTATTTAGTTCCCAGCTCTCTCGAGCTCTCCTTCTTTCCTCGTCTTTTGTCCTAAGAATAGAGTGTTAATTGTTCTGAGTTCTACCTGATGTGACGGTTATGGTCACGAGGGCTGGATGTCACATGCTCGCTTGGCGAGGCGCTAGCGCGCACGACCTGTATTTAGTTCCCAGCTCTCTCGAGCTCTCCTTCTTTCCTCGTCTTTTGTCCTAAGAATAGAGTGTTAATTGTTCTGAGTTCTACCTGAAGCACGTCTGTCACACAACCCGATAGTCTTCTTCTTATCATAGCATACCAACCAGCGAACACCCAGCCAAGTTTAGTTAGCCAGTTTGAGTATTCGTTACACTAAGTTCTTTCTACTTACTTCTCTATTTATTTCTTTATTTACTTCTCTCTTCCTTTTTAAAAGATTATATATAAGTAAAGCTTAAAGCTACTTATTATTAGTAGAACCGTGGTAGAAATTAATTTCTATTATATCCTAAATAGTATTAAAAGTCCTTATTTATTATTAGCTATATTAGGTTAATAGTAGTCCTACTTATATTTAAGTCTGTATATACTTATCTAAAAAAGTATTAATTAGTAAAGATAACTTATTTCTAATAATAACTTATTTACTAATAATAAAATAAACTATGGGCTTACTATCTTCTGTAGCCTTTATCCTCCTAATAATATACTAAATCTTTAATACTTTAATAATTTCTATATATCCTAAAAATCCCCCTTTATTAATAAATATATATAAATCCTTATAATACTAAGTCTTAGATTATTAAATAAAGGCCTAAATCGGTTTATTACTAACTTAAACTTCTTTTTTAAAAATAATAATATACTAAAAGACCTACCTAATTTATACTTTATCCTTTTTATTTTTACTATTACCTTCTTAAGACTATATAACCTAAGTATTATCTTAATTATTACTGGATTTGTATTAGGAATCCTTACTTCTTATAAACTATTTCTACTATAAATAAAGTTTCTTAAATATAATAATATTTTTATCTAGAATAAGCTTTTATATATTATTAGTAATCTTATTCTAATATTAAGACTATACTAACTCCATTATATTTAAAGTTAAACCCTTAGTATATGATATATCTAGAATAAAATATTTTTAAGACTAAAATATTACTTCTTTAAAATTAACTCTTTTACTAAGAGTAATATATAAAAGTAAGCCTAAAGTTTTAGACTATTAGCTAGTATAATATTTATTAAAATAGTTTATACTATAAGGTTTTTATATTACTAATATACCTTTTTATTAAAAAAGTATAAATAATAGATCTTAGACTTAAATCTTATAAGTTACTTAATTTATTAAAAAAAGAATTAATGTATTTATTAGAACTAAATATCTAAACTTACTTAAATAAAGTATTAAATAGTTATTTATTATATACTACTTTAATTAGTCTAGATTCTTATTATAATATAATTTCTTATAGACCTTAAGCTACTCTATATATAAGTCTTAGAGTTTATTAACCTTTTAATAAAAGATAATATAAGAAGTTACTAAAGTATATATCTATTATAATAATATAAAGTATAATAAATATAGTTAAAACTTATTATCTTTTAATAGAAGTATAACTTTATCTTTAACTAGAAAAGCTTCTTATTCTTTAGTCTTATAGTTAAAATAATACTTATTAATTACCTAAGGTTTTTTACTAGAATTAGTTAGTATACTAGTTTAAGAGTTCTTTTATATATTACTAATATCTTTTTATTATACCTTAGAGAGTATATATAGGAATAACTTATCTAGAACTATACCTCTTCTACTATTTTAATTTAGTTACTAAGACTTACTAGGTATTCTACTCTTCTTGCCTATTCTCTTACTCTTAGTCTTCTTATCTTTATTAATATATTCTTCTTATATCTTATATACTATTAGAATAATATTATATAAAAATATATATATATAGTTAGTAAGAAAGCTATAACTCTAGTAAAGACCTTATAACTTATAAAGGATAGATGTATATATAAATCTTATGACCTTTCTAATTTCCTTATCCTTATTTATACTTATGTGACGACACGTACGCAAGGCCCACGGTGTAGGTTGTGGAATCGTAGAACTGTCAATTAAACAAAGATTCTAAGCTGAGGAGAAGAGGAGAGCTCGAGAGAGCTTCGATCTAAATACTTGGTGTGGGTCGCTAAGCGAGACCACGTGATCCGAATGGTGGTGACGGTTAGAACCGTCACAACTTATCTCATTTAACTATCTTACCTATAGTATTAATTTATATCTCTAGGTTATAGATCTTATTATAGGTATAAGGAATATAATAATACCTATTTATCTTACTTTATACTTTAGGCTTCATATAAATACTATAAGCCTATAAGACGTTTCTAGGCTCTTTTATCTCTAATAATTCCCCCTAGGCCTTTCTATTAGTACTAATAAAAACATACTAAGCTCTTAATATAAATTTTAATTAGTATTTATTCTTAAAATCTAGTATACCCTACTTAAGCTATAGAAGTTCTTAAACTAATAAAAAAAGAAATATATTAATAAGCTTTAGTTTTTTAGTCTAAGAATTAAACAAGTAAGTAATGTATAACGTGCATGTATAGCGAACCGGCCAAACAAGCG